CACATTCTCCAGTCTTAGCGTCGTTTTGTTGTCCAAATATTTATAAATCGTTACGGTAGAGAACGATCGAAGGGGTACAATTTAAATCAATGCTATATGAGCTGACATGACTAAACAGTCTGTGATAGTCAAATGATCATGTGTATTGCACACGCCTGTTGAACCTTGTGTTTATTTAACGGGCGTTTTTCTAAATCGCGGACTCCTTTTTTTCGAACATTTATTATAGACCAAAAGAAATCTGTACGCAAAAACACACACATTTTTTAAAAATCGACAAAGAATCCCTGAACTGTATAACAAAACCCGGGCTTTATAATCTGAAAGGGCAGGGCATCGATACTCTTAAATCCTCAAAGGCATCAAAACGCTCTCCTCTCTGCATTTCACTGTCACTCCGCCACTTTATTACTTGGTTGAGTTGCTGGTTTGTCTGAAGCAAAAACCGTTGATTATAACCCAAGTTCAGCCGTTTTGACTTAGCTTTGAAAAAGTCAACATGACTGTGTTTCAGTGACTAAATGTTAAGGTTTAAAATGATTTTTTCCATACATTTTATTGCCTGAAGGAGTTGGAGTCAGAAGCTGAGTAAAGCTTTATAACTGAACGAAATTCTCAGAAATATTACTCAAAGAGGAACAGGAACATTGGTCAGAATACAACAGTATTCTCTCTCTCTCTCTCTCTCTCTCTCTCTCTCTCTCTCTCTCTCTCTCTCTGTCTCTCTCTCTGTCTCTCTCTCTGTCTCTCTCTCTGTCTCTCTCTTTCTCCCCGATGATTTCATTAAAAAATGATTGTTAAAATAAATTAGAATTATTATCACTTGCAACATTTACAGGTATTGAATACTGACTTTAAACTTGACAATGAATACCAAGCTTGCATAAAATTGCACACTTTGGCCTTAAAAAAGGTCCGAATTTTGGCATGAATAGCAAAGTGCTCGTTTTGGAGGTTGTTTTAAAAAAAATAAAAAGGCTGCTTTTTTTTTTACATACAGTAGTCTATGGCATAGAATCCGGTCCTTGGGAGCAATGAAAAGGCGAACGGATTTTGTCGACGCACAAAAGGGAGCATCCATAGTGACTAATGTTCAGGCCCGCAATCAGTGAAATGGTCTCTCCTCACTCCGAAATGCACCTTTGTGACCCCTAGGTTTGTTTACGACTTTTGGCGAGCAAAGAGTGGTCAACTTTGATGGCCAATCATAATGGCATGAGGCATACAAATTTCACATATCCAGTCGAGAGTCTCAAGATCCACGCCTATCCGCTCCTCCACTTTACCTGTCCAAAATGTATCGTTTTCCATCTCTGATTCCCCAGCCTGACGTAATGCACCATTGTATTAAATGGAGACCAATTCAATCGAATTAAAACCCCCAATTGAAATCCAGTCTGTATTGCAAATTCGGATGTGGAGGGAACTGCTGCAATGGCCAGATAAACAAAAGCACCAAAGAATTCACAGATCGATGAGACCTGATATTAAGCGGACTAGATCTAGTAGAATACCCACCAAGCTTGTGGTGTAAGATCAGACGAAGAACTCAAATGCCAGTGTAATGTTTAGGGAACACAAACACGTTGACTAGTTCTCGTCTCAGTGTGATTCCGCCCGGGGCAAACATTGTACGGTTTCATCAAAATTTTACAACGGCAACGAGTTTATAGTTTATGATCACATTCACGAGAGGAAATGATCTGTGGTGACACGGGCAGTACAATGATCGCAAATTTTCACTGCATGATCGGCAACGTCCGCCCGGGATTTCTTTTCTTTAATATCTGAAATGCGGGAACTTAGCCGAATGCAGCCCTTCAGAGCGGGCTCTTAAGGGGTGACTTTGTAAAGGTTGTGATGCAAGTTGTGAAACCCATCTATTTGAGAAACTTTGGTTCTTTTGGGTAGTATTCCTAGCTTTCCGCCTAATTGGCTCGGTTAGTTTCTATCGGAAGTAGACGTTTTTAAAAAAATCGAAGGTCAATCTTAAAAAAAAAAAAAAGACTCACAGAGTTTATTGAGACTCTAAATTCGTTGTTGCTCATACAGGGTTATAAAAAAGAACAACAACTACACAACTTGTTTGTTAATATTTTCCTCCACACTGGAGTTTTGCGTTCCAAATTTGTACATAACATTTGGAAGTCAAAAGGAATTTGTCTGATATTCATTTTAGAAAAATCCACAGAATCATTTTGTTTTAGACAGCGCGAAAAAATAAACATATTTTCTGCTATGTCCCCATTTTTGTAGCATGACGCACTAGTTCGCATTCGGCCTACAATTAAAAATCCCAACGATTGAGCCATATTATTATTGCTTACTACAGTAGTCTAACCGGCCAACAGAAGTTTGGAGATAGTTTTTCTCAAGTTTCCTTTGCATATTGTGATCATGGTTAAGATTAGTAAAGAGCAGAGAGCTTTTTGTATTGAACATTTCCTCACCACCAACCCATTTCGTAAGTTTCACACAAAGTACAGAGATATGTTAAAGTGCCCTTAAGGCCTTCTTTGATGTCAATGGTAGACAAAGTCCATCAGTTAGTACCTTAGAGAACCAGAACAAAAAAATCCCCGACAAAACGACCATTTATGGTCAAACACACCATTCGCACCCTTTTAAAAGTCACCAGGGTACAGAATTCAGTAGATAAGCCTCTTGAGACTCTGTACGTAGACGATGTCTGCAGCAATGACTTTCCTACATCTCAAATTGTCTGCAGATCTTCATCAACAACTGTACCATTTTCCCGTTCGCTTAGCTATCAGAGGATCGCAAGGTGTTCATGAATCCTCGATCATCTTGAAAAGCGTGAACATTTCCTCTTTGACATTTGGTTCCTTAGCAAAGCTCATATTCACCTTTCAGGTTATATCAACTCCTCAAATGCTGTCTATTTAGGCAACCTCACCCCCTCCTCCTATTGTCCCTAGAAACAGTTCCATACTGTCAGGTTTACAGTGTTTGTGGCTTTGGGTACTCATGGTTGAGCGGATCCTTGTGTTTGGCCACCATTGAATAATACAGTATTGCAGACGACGCATTAAAAGGTGTAGAGTCCAAAGGGGGACATATAGACCATTGGTTCTTGGAATTCCAGAATTTAAAAAACATTTTTAAAACTCTGTAGTAGAAAAGAACTACTTTTTAAAGGTTACAGGGATGGAACGGTTGGATTTGAAAATAAAAGGAAAGGAAAGATCAAACCAATCGCATCATGACTTTGTTTACAAGATCTTTTACATTTGTGCATTTTGTATTTATATGTGGTTTCCATAAAAGCCATTTCCATTTCCAAATATTCTTTGAGAATTTTATGTCAAACAAATTCCTTTTGTTTATTATCTGATTATCTTCAAAAAAAATTATAGTAGAGGGTTTTACAACACTTGCAACTGCATAAGGTCATATGAGCGCCAAGGGGTGGGTGTCAACAGAGAAGTCTTTACTGGGAATCAGACTTACTCTGCTCACCTCTCTAGCTTCAACAGCACAAAGTCTGCTTCGACTATCAAGGCACCCCGGAAATAGCAGGTCTCAAGAGCAGGCGCGGTTCGTCCATAGAGCACGGTCGTGCAGTGCCGCCCAAATTTTAAAAATGTTCTATAACGTAAAACACCCACAATAATAAAATAAAAGAAGTCAGAAACAAACATTAGCCTAATATTATATCAAAACAAAGTCTTCTCTGGCGCCGTAACTGCCATTTCTGTGTCTATAGCGCCGTAAAACATCTACTATGTAATGCCAAAGTCCACGCGCTTTTGCTAAACATAATAGGATATTCAACGGTGTAAGCTGACCTATAAATCGCTCTTGGGGATAACCCAAGCGATGCCGACACTCATAGCGAGTTTGGCGGTACATTAATATTAATAAGACGGCACATCTCAAATGTGCTCCCGCCGACCAGTGCCGAAACATAGCCCACAGTAGGCAGTCTAAAAATAAACGCGATAGACCGTACGCTATTCTTTGCCAATTATGTGAACCCCGGAACAATCCAGAGGAGTGCTCAAGTGCATTGTGATTGGTTCATTGTCTGGCTTGCCACTATTTTAAATGACTCTGTGACCGTGAACCTGAGGGAGTTGAACGTGACCGTCCTGTGAGCTGTGCCTTTGAATGGTTTTGTAGTGGAGTAGTGAAAGTTATTACTTGAGTGTTCAGTTCCAATACAGGATAAACGAAATTGATGTTTAGCTAACAAACAAATTTAGTACTAGAAATCAAAGCGACAAGTAAAAAGAATGAAAATAAAAGCACGAGGTCCTCCCTCACCAACCCAAAGATCCTATGTATTTTATACACGTCTCATTTACAATGCCCTTGACTATCTTCAGCATGCGATATCTTAATTGTGCACGTCCACTTTTTAGCCCCACGAGCCGCTACTGTTCAAGAGTGTGACAAACATACAAAAGAAGTAGAGGGAAATGACAATAGAAATGATTAGGAAAGAAAAAGCAGCAGTTCCCTGTTGTAGATCAGGCACAGTTATGAGCGTGACATGAATCAGCCCATTTACAATTCTACTGTGCTTGAACGAGGAATGTCCCCCCTTTGGGAATGGCCTAAAGACACTACAGTCAGTGGCGCTGCCTTTTGAATGAATTGTATCTATTCCAAATTACAACATTCTAGTACAAATTTTGTACGAGATATATAGGAAAAAAGTTTAAAAAAAAAAAAATCTACCTGTACGTTATACATGTATTTTTTGTTTAAAGTTTTAAGTTTAATTTTGTGGAACTTTCGGCTTGTACCATTTGAGGAGCGGCATAAAAACAAAAACAAAACAAAACAAAAAACAAAAACAAAAACAAAAAAAACAAAAAAAACGAAAAAAACCCCCCACCCAAAACAAAACAAACAACACAAAAACAAAAACAAAAAACTCAAGTTCAGCCACACCCTCATTGAACATACCAGGCAGTCGCATCAGCGTGCACTGACGTAAGCGCGTGTCTTAGGACTAGTTAAGTAGTACTCACCGATCGTAGCAGCTGTCGATTGCGGTATATAGGCGGAAGTTACTGTCAGGCAGAATGGAGTAAGGAGGGTAGCACACGGGTCGCAGCTTTGTTTCCTGGAAAGGCTGCCCTTCTCTGGAGGTCAATCGGCGGGGTAAGAAAGGAAAAAAAATGGTTAGGTGTGTTTCTTTCTGTTTAGAAGGGAGTTGGGGGGGGGGGGGGGGTGCAGCTCTTATACTATTTCGGCGGATTTTTATAGAAAAGGACGAGCCAAATTCCTATAAAATCTTAATTGGGGCAATAGAGGCACTCTGAATACTATCAAGAGGTGCAACACTTTTATGGAGAAAAATATCGAGTTTGTAAGTGCAATACATACTTAATTGCATCATATCTGCTTTCAATGGCGAAAGCTGACCTGTTTGACAGGGTAATTAAAGTACATGTATCACAAAGAACCAGACAGAGATGAAACCACGCACGAAAAGCTTTGTTACAATAGGGACATATGAATAATTTACAAAACTTCTTATTTTGAGGCGGCATTACGGAGTTGTGAACAAAAACAAATCCTGAATTCATTATTGTAGGCCTATGTTGTACTGACCAAAGTAATTATCCGCCCACGCTTGGCATTCTCCCAGTTATCCGACTCACCTTGTAAAAAGTGTGCTGACTCCAACGTATTTAACACTCAAATAAGAGGGGGGATTTCCGAATCTCCTCGCATCGACTGTCTCCTTGCAAAAGGACAACGCAGTAGCCTAATCCCTCATTACCACAAAAGCGAACTTAATTTCAGTTTTGTGTAAAGTTTAGTTTGAGCTCAACCTGTACATTAGACGTGTGAAGTTTGAATCTATTTGAGTATTGTCCGAATTATAAGGAAAAATATTTTTTCTGTTACTTTTTTAACAGCCAAGAGTCTTTTTGCGACTGTAATTCAGAGCTCTTTTTCCAAATGACCCATCCTGTTTCTACAACTACTATAATTTAATTGATAGGAAATACAATGGAGCTTAAACTTTAATCAACATAAGTGACTTTCTTATACGATAATAGCAATTATACTTCTGCGATCCCATCAAAGACAGCTAAATTCTAATAGCGGAGTGTTTTAAGGTCTGACAGATCGGACCAGCGACTGTGGTGTAACGGTTAGACACTCATGTATCACAAGCAGAAGACCTGCATTTGGTTCCCGTGTATGGGGGATTGCTTTCGAGTACGTTGATATTTCCGTTGGAACGTTGTATCGTCTCAATCTTGGTTTTCCTTAACAAGTAAAGTCGAAGTCCGTTCCTAAATCATCTACTAGTGTCGATGATGGCGTCAAACAATAGCGCCATAAAAAAGACCTACTTCTCCGCCTTCAGAGTATAGTCTGTATACAAAGGAAAGTCCTTATAGTACTCGGGGAAGAATCTCAGTCCGGCGGGGGCTACATGGGCCATAGAGGAAGACAGCTCAACAGATCCTGAAAAAGAAACCAAATCCAACCGAAACCATCAGACTAGTTTTATTTTTACTCCTCACAACTCAGCTTTTTCCAACTGGTGGATCACTTTCCTGTCAGAGAAATACGGAAACCAAACAAAATATAGTCAATTTGCACAATAGTGTTTTCATATATATTTTGGATAAAGCTTCTTTTCATACTGATGATTAAGTATTATCATGACCATAAAATAACGGAACATGGTTGATAATTTGAATGCTAGGTATCGGAAGAATCAAGACTTGCAGAGCTGATCCTGCCTCTTTAGTAAACTAAAAAAATGCCAGTGAGTAATACTGATAATAATAATATAGATCATTTCTATAGCGCCCTCTCCCATGTGATCACAGCTCTAGGCGCTTTACATAAATGCATGTAAGAACAATATTCACGCACGCACGCACACACACTAACACATTCACACATAAACACTCACACACACTTATGCACACATGTGCACACACATGCACGCCAAACACACACACACACACACACACACACACACACACACACACACACACACACACACACACACACACGCACTCCTACTTGCTTACCACACGCGCACGCTTGTACATCGTTACGAAATGAGCACAAACAAATACATGATAAAATATTAAATATAGTATAGATCTAGATCTAGAATTCTAGATCTTAGATCTAGATCTAGATCTAGGCCTAGATCTAGAATCTACACAATGTATTCGCAAAATACATAGATAGATCTAGATCTAAATAGATACATAGAATCAAGTCATTTAAATAACATTTGGGGGTATGGTGAGTTTCAACAAATGTGGTTTAACTGGTCGTTCGTTATAGCCAACTTACGGTCAACTTGTCGTTTTTATAAAACTATTTCATGATATCAGACTGCAAGTAAATTGCAAGGTCTTGCTTTCCCGGGCTTGCATAAGTATCGTCACTTCCGCTATCTCTCCGATGTTCAGTATTAGATCTATGTCACAAATTAAATTTCACTCTTTTCTGGAAAGGAACTAACATTATCCGTATAATTCTCCCTGTTTGCATGAATGCAATTCATAATATTTAAAAAAGATAAATAGATAAACAAATGAAAGAACCGAATATAATGACTATCGTAATATATCTGGTCGCCTCTTTCTATTTCATTTTCTTTTTTCTATTTTTGGGAACATTGCACCGTGCAGTGCAGAAATCAAGACAACCCATAATGAACGTGACCTCATCAGTACATTAGCAAAAGAGTAGATCTACTTTTGTCCCTTGCGGGAGTTCGGTCTAGTTCAGACAGCATCTAATCTACTGCAGTGCAGGTATATAATGTACTGTACTATGGATTTTAAGGCTGTGCTAGGTCCTTTGCAGTGCTTCCTTTGAATCATTTTGAGCTTTGAACGGACGAGTTGCCCCTTCACCCTTTCTTTTCCTTCTTCCCAATTTCCCGCATCCCGTAACTATTCCCGCCCGTCTATCCCGTAACTAGATCTAGAATCTAGATCTAGATCTAGATCTAGTCTAGATGTACATCTACAATCTAGAATCTAGAACTAGAAGCTAGAATTTAGGTCTAGATCTAGATCTAGATTAGATCTCTAGATCTTTATACATGCAATATAGATCTAGTCTAGTAGTAGTAGTAGTAGTATAAGGTTTTACGGCGCTCGCAACTGCTAAGATCTAGTCTATAACTTACATAATATTTTTGACAGCACCTTTGCTGTTGTCCATATTTGCTTCCTATGAATTGAATGTCTGGATCGCGGAAATTTGTTAGATATAGATCTAGATCTAGAATCTAGATCTAGATCTACATCTAGATATTGAAAAAGAAAAAAACTTTGCCAAAATTATAATTAATTGTGGTACACTATCAACAGGCACAAGTAAAGCACAATAAATATATTTTCAGGGAAGTCAAAACTGGAAACCAGTGCCTTGCAAATAAATTGCAATTTCCTCTAAATAAAAAGGCTATAAAAAGTTATCTTCGCTACTTATCAGTTTTAGGGGGATTTTGATATGTTGGTAGGATGTTTGGAAATGATGTTCCTGCATAACATATTTAGTATTGCAGAATTAGAAGCCACTAAAAACACACTGTTACTTTCTTATTCTTACTATGGAAAGCCCATAAAGCATAATGATCATATTATGTTAGATTGTCTTATTATATCGCGCATCATGCTGTCCTAATTTATAACCGCATCTCATCTCACGTCATCGTATCGTATCACTTCTCATCTCATCTCATTTATGTGACATTGTAGGTTCCCCCCTGTAGGCGTGACCAGGTTGGTGTGTGTCGGACATGGCTCACCGTCTCCCGGCAGCCGGCATTCTCACCGAACCAAGTGATTCCTTTCGAAACTACCAGGTTCAGATTGTTACAAAACACAAACACACACACACACACACACACACACACACACACACACACACACACACACACACAACCTTATGCTGTTGCAAACGCGTAAACCACTTAACATACGCAAACACACAAACATATACACACATATAAACACAAATAAATAACATAATAATGCGTACATTTTATGTACTCAGCAGTATTCTTTAGCTTCTCACGAAGTCACTTAACTCTAATACAAATATCGTCATTTTGTCTATCTACCTGAAAATATATAAACCAACATACAGATATAATAAATAATATAATATTATACAAATAACGATCATAATAAATCAACTGTAAAAGCAACGAAACACCATAAAATAATAAGCTAAAATAAAATAAAACAAGCAACCAACTCGAGAATTACTTCAACTGACCGGCTCACCAGGTGTGGCCTGCACCTGAGAAGAAATGCAAACGGAAGGAAGAACCAAACCCTCGGTGTACCTTGCGGCCCAAGTTTGTGTGTACCACACGGTGTGAGGAACGCACTTTTCGGTGAGCAGGATTGAGATGATCGCTGTCCTCCACCCACTCCTTCTCCTCCTCTTCTTCTGCCTGTTATTATAGTCATAAAGAATCATCATTGTAAACTGCAGAAAGACGAAAAAAAACAACAACAACCAACAACAAAAACGGCGGAGACTATTCATCATCATCATCATCATCATCATCATCATCATCATCATCATCATCATCATCATCATCATCATCATCATCATCATCATCATCAACATCATCAAACTTTAGACAAATATGGTACACCAGGAACATCCCGAGAGTAAAAATTGCGTAGTTTGAAGACATTTGTTAGATAATACCGCATTCAACCACCCTTCCTCCCCCGTCCAACCCGCATTTCTGTGTGGATTGTACTGAAAACCATTGATCAGAGGCACAAACAATGTAAAATTACAGTTTCCAAGGACAGTCAAGCTTTGGAAGTTACCAAAGTTTGGTGTTTTTTTCTTGCTAAACTTATCAGGCGACCTCAATCTTTCTGTCCAGACGTTGTCTCCCAACTCAGTCGGGATTTGTCCTGGCATTCAGCATCGAGGCCACCTACTTCCTTAATTACCAACATTGTCTTTATAAAGTATCAAACAACTTTAAAAATGAATTGGGAAAAAGCAACCCCCATCCCTTCAGACTCCCTAAAAAATAAACAAAAACAAACCCCAAAAAGAGACTTAAAAAGAAATTCACGAGCAAATGCATAAAACAAATGTTAATCCAACCCTTCATTTATTTCCAGGCCGCCGCCCCCTCTCACTCAACCAGGCTTGCTCTGCTTTGAAGAGAGTATGAAAAGGTGAGAATTTTATTCACCTTAGGCCTACATGTATTTATTTTCTTCAACTCACCTTCACCTATCCCGTTGTCTGGCTGATGGTGAGGGCACTTCCGCAACCAGCTTCGTCCACTGTTCGCGGTTCTCAGCTTTCCGTAGTATGATGGTCTTGTAAAGTTCAGTCCGCTCTTAAAGGGGGGGGGGGGGGGGGGGTACTCCCCCAAAGTCTCAATTCCGCTCAAAATTATGGAATTTGAGTTATAGGCATTTTTAGTTCCTCAGCTTCTCCTACAACTATTTCATCGCATAAGAACCCCCAAATCCTTATTTTTTCCCATACCGGGGATGTTTGTCACCACCATTTTCTCATAAAGTCAATATTTAATTTTTCTTTATCGGTCGTTTTCTAAAAAAACAAACAAAAAAACCCCCTCGATTTTTCTCTACACGTTTTTGAATAACTCAACCATTTTTTTCTCCAATCTTCATGAAATTTTCAAAGCATGACGAGAAGATGTAATACTAAAAATGTGTTTGTTGAATTTTTGATATACTGAATAGATTTTTGTTGGTGGTGTCTGGAGTATGGGTTTTCACGAATATTTGCAAACTTGAATACTACCTCAGGAAAAAATTCATAAAAATTTTTGTAATTCGTTTAGGAAAAGGTCAAGGAATACATATTTTTAGACCTATTGTTTGTTTACATGCACACAAAAAATAAATCAATTTCCATGAACGATAAGCGCGGTATTCATTACGTAAGACATGTCAACAACATCCAATATGGCCGCCTTATTCAGGGAAACAAAACTTTGTTTTCTCAAATTTGATTTCAGATTTTAAGACTCCTTACTATGCTTGTTGTTTGTGTGAAATGTGGTAAAATTTGGTCCTCTAATAAGCGAGATAGCTTTCAGGTGTAGCCCCCCCCCCCCTTAAATGTTTTCTTCCCATCGTTTTAAAATTCTGTCTGCCTCTTCGCCTCCCTCATTGTGCTGTTTTCTGTAGGACAGTCTTGGCTAGTCCAGATGCTTGTGTGACGTAACAGTACCATTTCAGCTTCAGTATATCCAATAATGTCAAAGGGGTTGCGTACGGCCCGATGGCATTTCCAATTCTGGTTCTCACGACATCAATGGTCATGTGATCTCTGTGCTAGATACCGAGAAGTTTACGGAAACATCTTATCTTCGAAGTCTGTATGTATTAAGTGTACTTATGTTTTGGTGAAAACCAGGATTGTGCGCAATTTTTGGAACACCCTGTACAACTAGCCATCGACCTGTTCAATAGGATTTTTTTCCATCCCCCTTGTTAAAACAGTTAGAGGTGTTTAGAGCTGATATTTATGTGAATTTATAAAGGTAAACACAGAGAAGAACAAAGGTAAATATGAAAAGTACAAAAATACCCCCCCCTCCAAAAAAAAAGTAATGTAACACACAAAAACAAAATGCAAAAAACGTATGATGACTGAACATTTCTCTTATTGTGGAAATTGAACTTGCGTGCAAGAACAGAATCATTACACATCAGACGTTCATATGAAAGGATAGCAGGTGTAGTACTTAAAGGGACCGCCTTTTTAAGAAATGTTTTCTCTATCTATGATCAGCCACTGTCATGGTGAGCGTAGTGGTGAACACCATGACCAGGTTCACTACACTCAACATGGCAACCACCACCGTCGCCGTCACCACTCGGAGCATCATGGCCGAGGATGTCATGCACACAGGTGTCACCACCCTGACCTCGTCTGCTTCCCAGTGCCCAGGTAGCAGGATCATCATCATCATCATCATCATCATCATCATCATCATCATCATCATCATCATCATCATCATCATCATCATCATCATCATCATCATCACCGCGAGTATGGGACATAGTAACTTGTTGATTTTTAATGGAGTAGGCACTTCACACGAATTTTCCTCATTTCACCCAGGTGGGATTGGGTACCCGGGCAAAGACAACGAACAGTCTTGTCCGTTTGTTAGTGTTTGAGCGCTTAATCGCTACTTGCACTGTTTACTTTCCTGGACGCTGAGAATGTTCTTGAGATTTCTGGAATCTGCTAGGGTAATAGTATATATTGTAAAGTGCATAGAGCTTGCTGTTGAGCGAGGGTATGCGTTCACAATTTAGATAATTTAGGAGCAGGATTCGACCCTGCCTGTAAGGGCTAGTCCGGTATGAGAGGGATGCCACGTTCCAGCAGAAAGACAGAGTTGTTCGCTTAAAATTTTCCTTGCACAGGAGTCGAATTCAAATCTTTTGCATTAACGGATAAGCTCCTAGCCGCTACACCACAGACGCCAGTAAAACTTGTAGTTGTCCCTTTAGGGTACATACATTGACCCAATAAATCGCCATACGAAAAACTGCTATCAGAATCCTCTCATAAGGAGGTGAAAGCTAGCCTAAACCTTTTGCGTGTGGGTTGAGGGGGGGGGGAGGGGCATTCTTTTTTCAACCCTCCTTACAATTTATTTAGCAGTATGTAACGTATTTTCAATCTCCTTGGAGATACGGGTGTCTATGTGTTAAGAAGTACCTTTGATGAGGAATGGAATTTTAAAGACAAAGAAAAGAGGGAATAACCCTAATAAAGAGCAATTACCTCTTTTCGATTTTTGGAGAGAGAAAAGGGACTATGGGGTTGGTCTAGGCATCCAAAAGTAAATCCATTGGTTCCGGTATTGTCGGGATGGGAGTACTGTTCGGCTTGGGGGAAGAGGAAGTCATCATGCAGTCTTGACAAAAATCTTAAGGTTCAACGAGCTTATGAAATGACGAACAAGACGATCATATTATTGTCATAAAGGATAACAGCTTCTGCAGAATAAACAAAAATGACGTTTTCGTTATCGGTTTTGCACGTTTTGTCCATGGAAAGAATAAGAATCGTCAAAGGACGAAACACGAGGGAAAAGAGAAGACTTTATCGATCCTGTGTGGAAATCCGAGATACAACGACAAGTGCACTGCATACGTTAGTCAATTTAAATGTTTCCTCAACATCACATCCCACACAATGTTGGAATACAGACAATGCAAACTTGCGGTTCGTGGTTGTAAACAGTGTCGGTTACCCTTAATCTCTTGTGTTATCGTCTCTTGCAACACGCTCCAGTGATCCCCCCCCCCCCCCAACCTAAAATCACCAAAAACAACAAAAACAACAAAACAATAAAAAACACACATGTATACAAACTCTCTCTCTCTCTCTCTCTCTCTCTCTCTCTCTCTCTCTCTCTCTCTCTCTCACACACACACACACACACACACACACACATACACACACATACACGCCAACACACACACATATATACACACACACACACACACACACACACACAAACACATACCTACACACACACACACACACACACATACACACATACGCGCACGAGCAAAACTCCCCTGTCAAATTACGTTAATCCCGAATCTGAGTTCATTTACCATTCGACATCTGAATTCCTTGTGACAGAAAAAAAGGAAGAAAAGGACAGCGATATGGGTTGTTGGGTATACACAATTTGGTGTATTTTATATATATATATATATTATACATGGGTGGTTGTCGGGTGCTGTGGTGTGTTTGTTCCGTTTTCCTATCAAACATCTATTGTCCTCATCTCTCATTTCTTTATATTATGTTACTCTCTAGTAACGTGACCTCTAATCTTAGGTACTTTTATAACCCGTTGGTAGCTTTTAAGCACAAGGGGGGCTATCCCGAAAAATGCTGTTCTGGGAATATCGAAGGTAAAGTTTTTACCCCAAGCTCAGTTTCTTTAAAAGACAATGAGAGTTTTCTCTATAACCAAACAAATATACACACCATTGAAATCAAGCTCCTCCTATAGGTAGGGGCAAAGCACACTTTTGGTGTAGGTCAAGATTTCTGGAAACCCCAGAAAACTGGGTTAACCCGCCTGTCCTAAAAAGCAAGCAATTGGTGTTGCAAGTGCAGTAAAACGTTTACTGTAACAATGAAACAATTATGCATGGGTGTATAATATACCTTTTGTCTATCTGTCTGTCTGTTTGTCTGTCTGTCTGTATTGTTGTTTGTTGTTGTTTTTTGTTTGGGGGAGGGGGGGTTGCAATATCCCATCCTTCTACTCCCATGTTGATTTGACATCCCTCTTCTTTTCAAACTGTGTTACCGTGGTATGTTGCATGATGCCAGTTGTCTTACGTGAAATTTGTGGTAGTTCCAAATCCCGGGGCATGGATGAGCGTCCAAGCTCCACCAAAATTTCCTCGTTGGGAAAATGGTACAACTTATAAGGAAGCTAAGTTTGTACCTTTTCCATCCCCCCAGAAACACACTTCGAAAAAGAACTAATAAAAATAAACGTAAGTAAATGTAAAAATAACAAACACACAATAAGAAATAAAATATACGTAAATAAACAAGTAAATGAACAAAACAAAAACAAAAACAAAACAAAACAACAAAACAAAACAAAACAAAAAGAAGAAATAAAGCTTGGTTTGTACTAGGGCACTCTCAAAGTTCCTACTCGCGCATTGTCTTATCTCTATAGGAAACACGACCCACCCACTAGCTGCGAGAGTGGTCTCGAGCAGTCTTGTTGAGAAGAGATGTACCGCCCCCAAGAAACATCGTGTCCCTGTAAGGGGAAGCCCCTCCCTCTCACCCGTTCTTGCGACCCTGCCCATCAGGGCCATAAGACCAGATGCCCCGCCTACAGCCCGAAGAGAGGGGAGAGGATAATGGTGGAACTTCTCGACTACTAAGGTTTATGTTTCTATTGTAATGATGTTATTATAATGAATGGTGTCAGCCGAAATTATGGTATTTTCTAAAATTTTTTCTGCTTGCCAAACTGAGTGTCTCCCCGTCTTTTTTTTCTCTCCGGTCTAATTCTTTGCCCTCTTGTTTGTTTGTCTCTACTTAGGATGTGTCAGAGGACAAAAGCAGAATACGGCACACTTTTAGGTGCGATATTCCCAGAAATCCACTGAAGCTTGAAACTGGTCAAAGCAAGAAGCTTGATGTTATACCGGGTGCCCATTGGCAAGATCGGAGAGGATTCGATCAGGTCGGGTCGATTAAAGGCGCCTTTTGTGTCCACTTTGAATAGATTTCTCCCTTGTTGCGTCAAAGAATAGAAAACTTTGACTGGCGCGCATTGTTATTGTTCATAAAACTTACCGTTCACAATACAGCCATTTCCCTTCCATAATGGCTTCACGTGCCGACTGCTGCTTATTCGGTTGCTGCGTTGAGAGGTTTTAAAACCATACAGATACAAGCTGGATACGTCGTTCGATGAACGGATTCAAAAGAATCGAGATCATTATGTCATTGTGGAAGCAGTGCGCACAGCTTGTGAACGAAAGCCTCTCTTGTTTACTGTGGCGTCTTAGAAGACGGACTTTTCCAAGATTAGAACTAATGAAAAACTGAAATTCCAACTACATTGACTTCAGACTCTTTAATATAACTGGGCACCCTTTAAATGATACGGAACCACCGTTATTAAAAAAAAATTCAGAACTTAAGGGGTTCCTAAGTTTTAGGCAATCAAAGTGACGAACATTCACAAATATGATGTAAATTTTGGAAATGTCGATAATTTTTTTTATCTATAAGTATCTGTTTCGCCAAATCTACACTATCCAGTACAGCATTTCTGATGCCAAAATATGACCCTGACCTTGTGACTCATTCGAAGTTTGATTACATCCGAGTTTCGACTTACGTGCTTGAAAAATAATATCGTTTGATTTTGAAGGTCACTGTCGAATTCGTTTCAATTCTGCCGAAATGGTACTTTTTTGCCCTCGACCTGACTGGCACCGTTAAATCAAACGAATCAAACTAACAGTGTGCGCCGGGTAGTCTTATAATGCTCACCGTCGGTTCATTAAAGACGAGGCGATGGTTTTGAAAACGTTGGCCACACACACTTGGAGAGAGAGAGAGAGAGAGAGAGAGAGAGAGAGGGGGAGAGAGGAGAGTCTGAAAATAAAAATATGGCCTTGAACGCGATGAGTCTGCTTTTTAAAATCTATTTATTTATCATCTTCCATAAATAACTCATTCGATGTTCTAAAAATTGAAACTTTTTCTACAGTTCAACTGCACTTGCTCATTTTTTCACTTCACCATGCATTTATTTGTTCGTTAAAAATTCAATAACGCTTTCTCCGCCCGCGGCCTTAAACATGTACAAAGGAGATATGGTACAAGATATACATTTGGTTTCCAATACATTCAGTATTAAAATAATCGATTTTATCTCAGTTCTTACTCAGCAAACACAGAACAGCCGCTAGAAGCGAAGAGGAATCTAAGGCTGCTTTTGTTCATAGAAATCTTAGTTTATAAATCAGGTTGCTTTCTTTTTGCAGTCAGTAATCAGGTTAGAGAGAACGGAAATTTCCTAAGCTTGTTCTGTCGAATGTAAAAAATCTTTTGCGTAGGGAATGTGAAATAGTTCTTGGTTTTTTTTTATAAACAGTCATAGATCGTGTACATTAGAAGGCCTGTCAACCAACCATATTCTTCAAATCAAAAAGATTGATTAATTATTTGTTGAAATAAGTAAACTATGAATACACACAAGCACCATTAGCTCGTTAAAGAAAGAACGCTTTTAACCGTTGAATATTTTCCGTGGTGTTTGCAAAGGTGCTTTATAAAGACAAGATGAAGAACCGTTCGACGAACAGTGATTTATAGTGAAAGGAAATCCCATGATAAAATGTTTGTACCTGATTCATTGCCATAGGACCTCTGTATGACCTACACTATTATGGTAAGACAGAGCTGCCACTCTGTGTTAAATCGAAATACTTTATTAGTTCCTGAAGGGGTGCGGGAAGTGCAGGTATACTAACTTTGCCGTTTTAACAGCACAATGTGTTTCTCTCGTCCCTCCATCTTATGGCATTGCAATGTTCACAGACAACACTGAATTCACCAAAGGCATGTGTCCGTAATCTCCGATCAACTTCAGTTTCACTAAAGGACTGTGTGTTGCACGCTAAGGTCAATGTTGGCGCATTTTTTCTTAGCCTAGCACGCTCAAGGTCTTCCTCCAGATTCTGACTATTAGAACGTTAATTCTGATAGTCGCCTTTCTCTGTTTCCTCACCTCTCACTTTCACCTTTGTTTCGTGAAACTTTACGTTTAGGGGGCATCTGACTACATTATTTAACTAACAATAATTCAACATTATTCCGATCAAACCTCGATCTATATTGACATCTTCCTTGCTGACGACTCCAAATCAGTCTCGAATTATGTGCTCAAAATACATTTAGGCTAGGATAGAGATCTAGATTTAGAGCCTTGCTCTATAAAAAGCTACGCAGAAAATACGCTCCAAATTTTGAAAACGTCAATACGACAATGTTAACGTTTTGTAAGTTTAAGCGAACTCAATATGCTAGGGACATCACTACACCAAAGATATCTAGAAAAAGTCAATACAATGAAGTTTGACCGGAAGTATCCAACGACACAGCTTAGCACACATATCCAAAAGAGTCAGATGTCGATATTCTAGACCTGGAAACAGTAGAAGCAGCTGTGTAAACACGATGTAGAACTCTGTGGCACACATGACAAGGACAAACTGCTCTTCTTTTTTTGCTAACTACTCCAAATCAGTCTTGAATTCTGTGCTCCAAATACACCAAGGATATAGATCTAGAGAGATCTAGATCTAGAGTCTTGCTCTATTAAAAAAAACTATGCACCAAATACGTGCCAAATTTTGAAAACGTCAATTTAACGAAGTAAACATTAAATCTGTGGGTTTATACGAACTGAACGTGTTGTGGACCTGACTACAACGAATGTATCTAGACAAAGTCAATATATAGAAGTTTGGCCTGAAGTATCCATCGACACTGTGAAGCACACATAAAAACAGTGTTGGATATTGAGATTCTAGATCTGGAAATAGTAGAAGCAGCTGTCTCCCACCCACGACAAAGCACATATTAAAAAATGGCTAATGGCAGAGTGAAAACATCTGAGAGCTTCAATTTACAGGAAAAACCATTTAACCTGAACATTCAAAAGGTAGTTTTCGAACTTTGAAAATATGCCCACATAACCTTTTGGGACAATTCTTAACTGAATCATATTTTTGCAGATTCTATAGGCCCCTGTGTAAAAAATGTATACTGACCTCACAAACGGGCTTAGCTCCATTATAATAAAACTAAACATAAAAGTACGAAAAAATAGAGCAAACATATACACGTATTACACAAATTTGAATGCGCACTTTGATGTAGATTCTGACACCGGCTATGCTGTTGAAGTTATAATTTGTAGCTCAAATGAAGGAGTGATCCATCTCGTCATACTAGATTCTAGTAGTAGTACTGTACACAATTGTTAACCACCACTAAACGGAAGCACGCAAATCACAACATTCCAAAAGACATCTGATAGCCTAATCAAGTTTTTAAAAATCAGGACTCTTCATGGCAAACAACCCGTACTTTGCTCCGTCCAAGGCAGAGGGCTTGCAAAGGTTCAAGAACTGGTATGATACTAAACCGCCTAAGTGTACTAAACCTAAATTCCAATTTCAGCAGTGGGTGAAAACACAAATGTGCTGTTGGCTAGCAACCTGAACAATACATGGAAGCTCAAGTTTATCAGATAGGGTCGCTAGTCATCACCGAAGTTGTCCTGCTTTTTGCTCTCCGGAGACAAAGAACCGGCTTCCGAATTGCCATAATTTTGTGTAGACGCACTTTTACATTTTGTAGGGGTTATTGGAGGATGCCACTGGCAGATCTTTCTTCTTTATTCCCACTCTGTAGTTGGCTTCTATGAGATTCATTGTGTCTTCGCACTTCTCTTTACTCGTCTAAACTTCAGACTGTATTAAAAAAAAAAAAACATAATACTCCTCTGCAATCCAGTCCTCGACCCCGCAACCCCCCCCCCACCAAAAAACCGCCAACAACAACAAAAACAACAACACACACAACAACAAACAAACAAAAATTTAAAAAACCCAATCTCACATGCACGTACGCACTGCTGGACAGACTTTTTCCTCTGTCGTATTATCTTGATTTCACCCTGCACTTAATGACAGTCTTCATGTCAATTTGCTTCTCTTTCTTAAAATAAAATTTTAAATGAAAATCATTCTGGTTGGGCAGCTTTGTTAGGTCAAATTTTAATTATTTAGAGCCAGACCCGAAGTCTTCAAAGTATCAATTGGAGACGTTGTCTTCAGACAACTCTTGGTGCGCTACACAGGACAACTCAACAGAGAATATTGGTCTACCAGAACACCTCGTTTAACACCCAATAATAAACAGCATTGTGCGCCACAACTTTGCTTGTGTGCGCCGATTGCGAGAATGACATTTTAAAAGACAGATCAGTCCCAAAGGACTAACACGCTAAAACCGTGAGTCCAAAAATAGAATGTGATTAAGCCGAAGACCGAATTAAACTTTTCCAGAATGGCAAAAACAAGTCTGAAAAATAATAAATATTCGACATGATCAGCAGAAGAAACATCGCCTCTGTTCTTACAGTTTTACATATTTTCTTAAACACTGCTTTTGGTTTAACAGTTTTAGATATATTATTATTCTTTCTGAGGCTGTGAGAAGGATGGCTTTCCAACATAGGTAGATCATTATGAAGGCATCTGAAGACACTGATGTGTTTGAGGATTTGTTTTATGTAAGACCAAACTCTGAAATCTCTTAGCAGAATATATTATTAAGGAAAGCTCAGTAGAATCTATGCAATATTTATACATGTCTATGTAAGGTACATCGCCAGCAAGTTGTTGTGGTTGATGTTGTTGTTGTTGTTGTTGTTGCTGTTATTGTTGTTGTTTTTGTTGTTGTTGTTGTCATTGTTGTTGTCGTCGTCGTCGTCGTCGTCGTTGTTGTTTTGTTATAATAACAACAATATTTATAACATGAGTGAAGGTGATGATGATGATGATGATGATGAAGATGATGATGATG